AAGAATTTCGTTTGATGGTCATTGTTTGATTTGTGAACCGACTTTTATTTTATTAGAAGCATACTCTTTAATGTTAACAATAATTAATAGACTTTAATACCAAAATATAAGATGAGGCCCTCTTTATATAATATAATATAACAAGAGGCTTGGGTAGGCTTTTTGTGGGCTGTGAGAAGTAAACATTTGGAAAGTATTACGGATAGTTTTTTTCATATAATAATATTTTTTATTAATAAGTGCAAATGGATAAATATATATTAAAACATTGAAGTATTATTATTATATAATTATTTGTTGAAAAATGATATGATATATAGGATAAATATACACTCGTGATTTAATTTTTGGCTTAGTATTTACTGAAGTCTAAGGTTGATGAGGCTGATGAGATTGATGCAAAGTCAAACCAACAATATAAAAATTTTATTAAAAATTGTTCTCAAAAATTTTTTATTGGTCTCAGCAAAATGTTTAACATTTATATTTATAGTAAAGAAAAAAAATATTTTCAGATAAATTTGTGAATCATCGTATCGGTTTCACAAATGTCCTGTTGTCCGTCAGGCACGTGATGGCTTAACTGCGCTTCGGACTCGATAACGGTTTCCGTTGATGTTCCAATTTTCGGATAATTTCCAGTATCCGCGGATGGCGGATACATTCCGAGGATATCCGAGAAATTTATCCGAGGATTTACTGACGGATATCCGTACCCGAAATTTCCCTAAACTTCGATCAATTTCTATATTTAGTATATTTATATTAATAAAAATTTAAAATAATTTGGCCTACTTTACTTCACGTGAATCAATAATTTCGACCAGAATTTTATAATCCGTATAAAAATTTTCTCTGTCAGCGTAATTAACACATTTAATTATTTTATTAGTAGTTTTTCAAATATTCAAACATTTTCTTTAAAAAAGATTTATTTTTTAATATATTTATTATTTCTTTATAATTTTTTGTATATTTAATTATTTGTAAATATTATTCTATTGAGCATTCATATCATTATCATATAATCTGTAATTTATTAATTATTAGGTTAAAGGTGTTACTATACTGTATATATTAATAATTTAAAAAGAATCCTTTTTTTTAATTTGATAGGATTAGTTTATGTAACAAAAAAATAGCGCAAAAAGATTACTTTCTTGTAGTGTTTTACGTAATAAAAGAGCAAAGAAACAGTAAAGAAGCGTTTATCTAGTATAATTTAAACAATTTTTTTTTATTTATTGTTTTTTTTCTATTACAAAAATACGCATATATAATAAAATTTTAATAACGTTTTCTTCAAATACAGTCTAATAAATAATATGTAAAATATATATTTATATCCTTTACTATTTAAACATAATTAACTTAGCTTATAAAAGCTTGAAGCTTGCATGTTTAAGACATTTCTTCGCCTTCATGAAGTTTTTCAGTAAAAAAAAAAAAATATATTTCAATTAATAATAAAAGAAATAACATAAAAATTTACAGTAAAGTGAGTAAACAGAGTGAAAGAAAAATATTTATATACGAGAACACCCACAGCAAAACAAGGGGTTCAGCCTCAAAAAATTTTTTTAAGTTTATATGATAATGAAAAAAAAAATTTTTTGTAAAATTTTAGCGGTTTTTTCTACTCGTGTACTTGTGGTTTTTAATTTTTTAATAATTTACAATGTTTCTTATCCTTTTCACTGGGTACACCACACAATTAATAGTAGTCACACTGCGTGACATATTATGCAGGTAACAAATAGAGAGAGATAGATCAGTTTTATTTTAAGAAGTGTGGTTATTCTAGTCAAACTATTTCACAGATACAGGAACGGCACAAGTCCGGCTATACTGGCTATTAAAGAATGAGCTATAATACCTATCCCAAACAATAACGAATCGGACAAAAAATAATTCTGCGGAACAGGAGCATACGCCACCGCCCGAGTTAAAGAGAACAAAGAGAAAAAGAAAGACGAAAAAAAAGAGGCTTCCCTGAAATAAATATTAACAATGCGAACACCGAAATCACGTGACCAGGTGACTTAAACGTCACCTGACTACCCATAATTGTTAATAAAAAAAATGCGTTCTATGAAATAAACTATAATAAAAAGAATAATATGCATTTATACATTCAAGATGAAATTACTAAAAATACTAAAAAATACTAAGATGAGAACCGTGAAAAATATTATTTTATTGCGCTCTATTTGGTGTTCTTGAGGTAGTTGGTGTTCTTGGAGTAGTTGATTGTGTGCGTCTTTCTCACTGACCCGTACCAGTAACTTACTGTTATTCGTTGGTTGATGACAACATTGGGCTGTTATCTCAGATTGGTGATTGGCTCCGCTAGATAAATTACTAATACTAAATATCATTTGCATTTTTTTTACCTACATTTCTCTATATGCTAGATTTCCGAAAGAAATTATCTACAATCCCGACTCCCTCCCACAAACTTCTTCAAAGCAAAGAATAGGAAAGCATATAAAGTTTAACTTTATTCCATGGGATCCAATCCTCGAAATAACTATATAAAGGTCTTCATAATAAGCATCAAGACCCGGAACACCCAAAGCGCTATTGTGACGCAGGTGATCAAGTTTTTAAAACGTGGGAATTTTTTTTGATTTTCTGCAACAAAAAACAGTCACATGATCATTACATATTAGAAGTGAAACTAGTAGAGCGTAGTACGACCTTCTTTGCAAGGAATGTATGAGACACGATAAGAGTCATAAGACAAAGGATAACTGGAGTGTGAAACCTATTAAAACTCGTTTGTTATACAAATGCACAGTATATGTGTAATAAAGCTTTGTATATAGCACAGTATACCTTTATAACCGAGCTTAATCGATTTGGTTTTTAACTGGTTTGTGATTTGATTAACCGATTATATTTAAACCGGTTTAACCAACCGATCAACTTTAATTTCTTTTTTCAATTATTAAATTTTGTTTTTTTCGATTAATTTTTTTCGACCAAATCATTGTTTAAATCAATTTAATTTTTCTTATATTTTTCGATATTTATTAAACCAATTTAATTCAATTTTTTTAAATTTTTTCAATTTTCCCCTTCTTAGGCTTTTTTGTTATAAAATTGTAAAACGGTTTTAAATATTGTTAAATCTTTTGTTTCCAAAAACATTCAAAATGTTACACATACTCTAAGGATTATACTTTTAATGGATCACCCAAAAATCCTGATACCCATAATATCGACAGTCTATAATCTCGACACCAAAATCTCCCCCAATAAATGTAAATCCAGATTGAATCAAAATTATGACAGACCGAGATTCGATCAGATGAATTTGAGATTAGTTAATTTTTTTAATGCAAATATTTCTAATTTTAGAAGATAAGGAATCATTTAGTAATCTAATTAATAGCCGATGATAGTACCAACCATCAGACTGATCTAGTAATATACTGTACATAATCCTTTTAACTAAGATAAAAAATTTTTTCTTTTAATTTCATTAATAATATAGTAACGACGTAACGTTAGTTAATTTGCATTGATATTTGCTAACAATTTACATTGGTATTAATAAAATTTACAAATTATATTTTAATTATATTGAATAAATTAAGATCCGTTACTGCGTCACTGCATTTTTAAAATTATATGCTTAATTGGAAAATTTATATAATTTTTTTTTTTTTAAAAAAAAGAAACTTTGGGATTTCGACTGTCAATATTTTAACCTTCAGAACTTGTGACTATCGGGATTTTATTTCAACGAGATTTGGGTTTGTCGAGATCTTGGTGTCGGGATTGTAGACTGTAGATTTTATGGTTGTCAAGATTTTGGGGTAAACCCGCTTTTAATATATTCATTTTGCGATGGAACTTAATAAACAATTTTACTCTATAGCTAATGAACTTGAAAAAAAAAAAAAATATTACAAAACTAAATAAATTATATAATATATTTTAATACTTCCAGTTACTGATGTTTTTGATACTACTTAAGGAGGAATTTTCTTCGCTCCTTATTCCGTAAGAAAATTATATATAAAGTATATAAAAACGTGAATAAATAAGTATTAGATATACTTTTTTTTTATTACACAACAAATCCTATTTCCTTTTTTTTTTTTAAAAAAAAAAAAAAAAGATAGTCTTGATAAAAAGTTTCTATTACAGCTGATTTCATAATATACGGGATAGTCGGGACACCAATCATTTTTACTTCATGCCGAGAGAAACTCGGTAAGATTCGGTATAACTCGGAATAAAATAAAAACTACACCACTGTGCTCGGACCAGTGCTCCGACCTTATTCTGTACTTTACCGAGTTTTACCGAATGTACCGAATTGTCTCTCGGTAACTATTAGGTGTCCCGTATATTATGAAATCAGCTGTAATAATAAAAAAAAAATAGCTTTTTACAAAATCATGATATAATATCGGCGTAATGCTGAATTTGTAATTTATTTTACATACAGATCTACTAATATTTTAGGTTACACAAATTAAATACTAAGAAAGGAGATTTTTTGAAAAAAGGAAATTGTTCATTCACAATAATTCATTTTCAAGGATAATTCATTTTCAAGGTAACACAAATTTCTCCTTTATTATGTCATTAAAAGAATTTTAAATTTTATTATTATATTAATATGTCTATGAATTATGAATTACAAATTAAGTCTAGGGTGTCACACAAGGTCGGTTGCATTTTTCGGTATTTATTATTAAAAATTATCATTATAGTTATATAGTATAAAATCTGTCATTTTGACCAATTAGTCTGTATGACACCCTGATAAAATACGCAATTTTTCGTTCCATGTATTCATGTAATATCAATAACAGTCAGATAAAAATTAAATCACGTGAATCCTACGTTACTCGTGGAATAATAAAATATAAAAACAAAAAAAAGTTGTATATTCATAAATTGGGAGACTACGTCAAACCGAGATGTAATGTGCTTTGAAGGGGAATATAGAACATTATATATATGCGATGTCCCTTGACTCTCTTCAGGGTAATAGTAAAAATATCATATACTGCACATCGTAATCACGTGACGAGTAATTTTATAAAATTTTATTAATAAATAAATATTCATTACAAGAAAATAATATGATAATTATAAATAATAATACATATACTGTAATTCACCAAACTATTAACTAATCTATCATTACTACGCTATCAAAAATATGCACGAGACTTATTTTGAGTCCATTCGAAATCTTCAAAAATTTTCCCAAGATCATAAGCTTTAACCGAACCTTTTGTTACGTATTTATTAATTAAATCATTCACCTGCTGTTGATGTCGTTTAAAATCTGCATCTACAAGAAGACAAACAGGAATTGTTTGTAATAATATTGGTTGTTTATTCCAATTATCAAGGAATAATTCTAAAGAATTAAATCTAAAAATTTTATAATAATAAGAAAATTTAAATCTAAATAAATTCTTAGGTGAAGATCTAATTAATATTTCGAATAAATTATCCCAATCAGGATCATTATTATCTAATGTGTTTAAAAATAACCCATTTAAATATTTACATTCAATTAATAATTTTTCTAATTTTATAATATCAATATTATTAAATGATATTTTAAGATATTTAAGATTTGGACACTTATTATAAATTACTTGTAAAAGTCTTCTATTATCATTACCCTCATACTGAATACTTATTTCTATAAGATTTCCTTTCGTATTTTGAATTAAATTTGCCAAATCTTTAGATGGGATTTTTTGAGTTTTCAAAATTTTTAAATTAGGTAAACACACTTTATCCAAATAATTCCAATCTGCGTAACTTGATAATTTTATATCTAAACTTATTAAATTAACAAGTTGTGAAAGAATATTCGTAACAGGTTTCCAATTCATGCTAAAATATTGGATATTATTCACGTTTTTGATTAATGACTCTTCAAGTGTTTTACAATATGATTGGTCTATTACATTAGTTGGTTGTTTATTAAAACCAACAACATTTAGGTTTTTTTGAGCTTCAATTAACTTAATAATTTCATAATTATTAGTTTTCATAACGTTAAATCTTAATTTCAATTTCTTTATCGAATTACTTGTTTTAGCCAATCCTTCTAATATTTTTTTATCTACACTAGCGTTACAACAAAGGTATTCAAGCCCTGAAAAGCAATGTTCAACCCCCGGAAAAAGATGTATTTGATGATTATATTGTTTTGTTATATAAAGGTATGAAAAACTTGTATTTTTATTAATAAATAATTTCAACATTTCTTTTCTTATAATGGTACGTTTGGAGTTTTTAATATTTTTAATAGAAATCATACTTTCTAAGAGATATAGATTTAAATTCTTCCAATAACTAATATAATTAAATAAAGGTTGTTCATATTTTTGTTCAATAAAATTAATTCCATTTTCTCTCAAAGTATTCTTCGAATCTTTTGGTAAATGTGAAATTATCGTATCAAATAACATTTCAATTGCGTTACTATTTGACTTGAATCGTCCAGGGGTTTCCCATAAAATCGGAACAATTATTTCACACCAAGTTTTGTTAACTAAAAGACATGAGTAAAGGGTTTTTCCGTCGTTTTGTAATTTTTCTAATATTAATGAGAGCATACCCATGTTAAGTTCAGACATTTTTTATTATTTTGTTTTATTTATATCTATATATTTTTTTTTTTTTAAAAAAAAAAGAAAGAAAAAGGATGAAAAGAAAATCTGTTTATTTATATACAGTCTACACGGATTAAAGTTACGTATGGGTTTAGCGGAATTTTTATCATTTTATCGATTAATTTGATTAATTTGAAAGTATATAAGGAAATATGAAAATTTTGTGACAAACAAAAGAAAACCATAATCACATTACTGTTTAACTGTGTGACCTGTGTGACCACATGTGCCATATATAAAAATAGAGTTTTTCATTTACGGTATATTCGGTAAACATAAACATAAATAAACAATTTGTCTTTGATTTTTTACCAACATGTAAAATGTAAAATGTGCGGCTAATAAAAATATTGCATAGTAGATGACGCAAATTTTCTTTCTTTCTTTCTTTTTTTTTTACTTTTTACGATTTTTATCGTTAATTTTTAGATATATTTTTTATACTCTTAACTGTATTATTATTGTAAAAAAATCGAACGATGGATACGATGAATTTTAAACATAATATACTCAATATTGCATTATATTGAGTAAATTCATAATTGTTTATTTTTAAAAACTTGTCAAGTGACGCTTCACAAGACTCTGGGCGTTTCATCAATGTACTTATCAAATTTGGATTAGTTTTAGTTTTTTTTTTTATTGATGTGCAAGGTGCCGGTCTGGGTAAAAAATCAATATACTAATTTTGGGGCGACCTATTATTGGTTTATAGAGTAGCACAACAAAAGTTGATCAAAGAATAGTATTGAAAATACCTAATACGTTACAAAATTTTCACATGAATATTTATTATGTAAAGATTTTGATATTATAAAAGATATTATACATATATAAAAAAGTCGTTTTTAGGCACGGATTATTCAAAAAAATTAGATCCGGAAATCCTCGTGATTATTTTTAAGGATAGCTTGTTCTATTGTACTTTTTTTCACCTGACTCTTCTACGAAATATTCTCAAGTTTAAATCTGTTACTTTGTTAGGATGCCAAAAAATAAAAAAATGCATTTCAGCAAAGGTGCATGATGCAGATGCATGACCCTGTTGCATGAGTCATGCACTCATGCATAGTCACACAATAAGGTAACAAACAAAATATTGTTAAAAAAAAATTCGTCATTTTTTTTTTATTTTACTAAAAAGTAAATCTCTATATAACATGTAATGAATGGAACTAGTGAAAGAACTTTACGATATTTCCATATAGATCGTATCGGATTATTGATACGCACTTTAGGACAGAAGAAAAACTTTTTTAGTATTATGTCAGAGTCCTGTTATTCAAAAACGTATAGAAATATATATATATTTAGTATATTATATATACATTGCGCTTTGAATGAAATGTAACAGACTTTAAAAAGTGCTAAAATTTAGTGATTTTTTATTAAATGCTGTATTAGGAATAATGTATGTGTGTTGATAAATACATTGCGGATCTATCATGTGGATATGTGAGAATTTTGCAAAAGATGCGCAGTAACTTAAAATCACAATGTTACACAAATCAAAGTTAGAATATACCCGCTTTTTAATATAATTCTAAATTCTTCAAACGTTCGTTTATATCTAATTGCAAAAGTTTCTTTACTTTCTTCACCTTTTCGGGATGCTTACTCCTTTTTTTTTTATATATTATTATTTGAACTACTAATCCAGTAACTAACTGATCCTAAATAATTGCATCTTTTCTGTACAATTTGTGGAGGTACTGAGGTATCGCAGGACCCAGAAATATATATATAAGGGTCAGGTGGCGAAAATTTTTTTTTACTATGAGCTGTACGCAGAGACTTTTTACATGAGTAGTACGCATAATTGACACTTGATATTGAAAATCCTGCAAAAATACGCAAATAAAATTTCAGACATTAAGTTATTAATTATTTTATCATGACTTTTATATTATTTATAAAACCAAATACTAATGTGAAAAATAGAATTTATAGTAGCCTTAACATCACCATGAATATAGAATTCTGAAACTCTAAGAAAAGACCAGGTTTTATTCTTAAATTCTTTTTCCATTTCTTCATAGTCAATTAGGGAAGTTCTTTTGGGTTCAAATTTAGAATAAGGAGGAAAAACCATTTTTTCAATTATATTTTTCTAAAATTTCGCTTTTTTAACCCTTAAGAAATTTCTTTCAATTAATACTAAATATTACAATGCGGTTAACGTACAGTAAATATAATATTAGCCAATTTAGGCCAAAAATACGCAAACTAATTTCTTACATATAAAAATTTTGATAAAAAATACGCAAACTTGATGGCCTAACTATGGATGAAAAATTCTTAGATTGTACGCAAATCAAAAACTTTACTCTGTCTAATTTCACTATGATGGCAACGCATCTGTGTACCCTACCCCTTTATATATATTTTTCTGTGTCTCTGGTATCGCAATCCAAATTATACAGCGTGCCAGGGCCGATGATTTTTTGCGGCGCTATAAGATAAATTTTGTGTGTGACAAAAATAAATTTTGTGTTTTGTGGTGAAAAGAAAATTTTTACTGATTATGTGTAATTTTGCGGCATGTCTCAATAAAATATGTGAATTTATGTGAACGAAAAAAAAAACAAATTATGTGAATTCTGACTAAATTTGATAAATTTTGTGCAATTTTGTAGTGATCAAAAAATCGCAAATTTTGTGTTTGCGACCTGTTGTTGTTACCACTTTATTGCGGTTTTCTAAAAAAAGTTTACACATGAGATTACATGATATAAATTCAACCAATAGAAATTTATCACGTGATCACGTGTTTTATCAAAAAAAAAAATAAAAAATAAAAATTTTCAAAATCATAAAAATCATATCACTTAATTGGGTTAAATACTAATCTTTTTTCTTACAGTAGCTTGGGAACAAAAAACAGGTGAAAAAATCTGCTTTCAGGTGAAAGACATTGAAAAAAAAAAATTCTAGAATGACCCAATTCACGTTACATATTATTAAATTCAATCTTGGTCTCAGTACTCTCGCGAAACCTTTTTTTATTTTATTATGTCATTACTACATAAAAAATTTTCGCATTTATAATTTGACTAACTTTGTCGTCTTAAATTTATTTATTTATTTAATTTTTTATGATGGAAGTTCTTTGGATGATGCATTCAAGATATTCAAGATGCATACACCTTGTGTGATAAATAAAAAAACAAATAAAATTTACCGCACAATTATCATTATGGCAATCTAACATGTTTACATAATACATAGTCAATCGTAGATAAGATGAATTTTTGTAATTTCTTGAGCTTACTGTTGGAGCATCATGTACTCTTGCGCCTATACTTACAGTCTCACTCTAGTGTTAGGTTAATAATAGTATATTTGAGTACCAAGTACACAACTAGGACTAGCTATAAAGTTTATTACAATGGTATAAGTTATCATCGGATTAAAATCGGTTAGAGTTATCTAATGGCTAATGCAGTCCAAAGTTGTCCAATTACTTGTTCTCAGCGAATTTTATTTTAATAGATGATCTTACAACTAAATACATGGATCATTTTAAACAATGATTATGATTTATGAATACCGGAAGTTACGACCTTTAAGTATAGAAACGATCTGTTCCTGGACGAGTGTAAGCCATCTTAACAAATAACAATTATCCAAAAAGCATTGAATAATACAAAATCACAATCTAGACGACCAAGTGGAAATGTTATTAATATTTATTAATATAATAATAATGAGTCACTGCAAAATTTTCATATACAAATTAGTGTTACATAATCAAATTGTTTGGCGTTGACACACACTTTCGCACATATACAGTAAGAATTAATTAGAATTATATTATAATCATAAATTCATAATGACTCACTGCAAAGTTTTTGTATATAAAATTACACACATTTTCGCACTTATGATCACTATAATACACATTTTAATTTAAGTAATTATCATTAAAAATGACTATTAATTTGTATAACAAAAAATATATATATAAAAAGGCCTTACCCCCTTAGTTAAATATCCAATAATTTTTTCAATATATCATCAATATATAATTTTTTCAATATATCAATATATTTCAAATAATTTTACAAACCAGAAAAAATATAATTTTTTCAATATATCATCAATATATAATTTTTTCAATATATCAATATATTTCAAATAATTTTACAAACCAAAAAAAATATAATTTTTTCAATATATCATCAATATATAATTTTTTCAATATATCAATATATTTCAAATAATTTTACAAACCAACTTCGCTCAAATGCCATACATGACATAAAGAGAACGAGGCATTAAGTGGTACGTATAAATTATAGTTTGCTGGATGGACGTATGAGTAGGTGCGCACTGTAGGGTTCACGCATCGCATGTATCATGCTTGGTGCATCCGAGGTTACAGCTGAAAGTCATTCCGGATGGTAAACTGTTATGGTCAGGAATCGTTGTAAGGTTTATCACTCCAGTTGTAAAGGTTTGGTGGACTGTTAATGATGACATTGACATATGTACACTGGTGGCTGCAGTCACTTATGAATGTTTGTTAATACAGGCGCAAAACAAGGTTAACAATAAATGGAATCTATAAATAATAAGAAAAAAAGTCGTTAGTATGGCTGGTACCAGGTGGAAGCAACCACCACCATACGCGTAAAAAAAAAGTCTCCGGAAAGGTGATGGTATCATACTACTTGAGTGGACACCCTGGAACTTGCACAATAAAGATTTACTTTTTGTTTATTTTTCGTTTTTTTTTTTTCATTTCATTTCTTTATTTTTCATTTTTTTTTTTTTTTTTTATATTATTTTTTTTCATTTTATTTTCTGTCACTTTTTTTTTAAACCCCTACTGTAATAGTCCTTTGGGATACCACACATAGGCTAACCCTCCTCCAGGAAAGCCAGTTTCTCATATATACATGTACTTTCTTTCAACTTTTTTTATCTGTAAGCCTGTATCATTAAAACTATGCAAGCAGGGAGCGCATGCTTACCTTAATATTGGTCTACCGTAAATCTTAATTTGTAAATACAATTCTTTATTTTTCAACCTGACCTTAAATATTGAGTTTGAGTATTGTTTTATATTGCTTTGTGTTATTTCATTGCCAACCAAGAAACACAAGTCTTTGCCTGGAAATAAAAAAAATAAAAAAGAAAATTTCATATTGAAAATATTTTCATAAAATAATAAAATGTATTTTTTCTAATATCGAAAAACAAAAGAACATATCTGGTAAAAGGTGTTCTTGGTTTATTAGTTTCATCTGACGAGTTACCTATCGAAGAGAGAGAGTTCGTAAAGAGGAAAGATTTCATATTGAATATATTTTCCATAAAGTACGAGTTTAATTTCTTTAAGTTCGTGAGTTCGTGAGTTTGTTGTATAAATATATTGATAAAAAAAAACGAAAAATGAAGTATTGAGAATATATTTTCCATAAATAAAGTACGGAATATATTCCATACTTTAATTTTTCTGAGTGAGTTCGTTATATGAATATGTTTATTTGAAGTTTTTGAAAAGAAAAATGAAAAAGAAGTATTGAGAAATTTGAAGGAGTTTGGGGTATATTTATACTTTTTAAAAACCTTTTACACAGTAGATGATATGGGACTTCGATGTAGATCAAGATTTTTTTACTATATTGTTTCATAAAGGAAATAATGACTCATAAAATCTTGAATCTTGATAAAAAAAACTTAATATTCATGAGTCATTACCAATATTTAAAGGGGTATATAAATCGTGATTTATCATATCGATCGATCGATCGATTCCTAATTTTCTAATGTATTAGATCTGGAAACTCTTTTAACTTCAAAGATTATCATGTAAAAAAAAGGAAATAATCACAAATAATAAAAATTCAACACTAATTCAACGAAATACGGTTGATATTTTAAGAATATTATTAAGTATGAACTCTAAATTTGGGTTTCTCTTTTATGACGTGTCAGTACTCACCAAAACCTCCTTGTTAAGTTCTTTGTTAGAAAAATCTATAACCTTGCATACTAAGAAAGCAACACCTGTAGCGTATACGCTTTTGGCGCTTCATGAGAATGATCGTAAATTAATGAAAAAGAAGCAGATATAATGCGGGTGACTGGGAATGAAAACTTCAAAAATCAATTTTGTGCACACGAATCAATTTTGTGCACACGCCCCAATATGTTAACCATTTACAAAAAAAATGAATAACACTTAATATTAATATATAATAAATACAATATATTTTTATAATATTATTATATTAAAACTTTATTAATTACATTATTATAGAATTTTAATTATCTACTATCCATTAGAAGCTGGAAATTGATCATCGATACTTGAAAATGATACGTGTAACTTATTATTGGATGACGACATCAACATTTCAATAACCTTATCAATAACATTATCAAAAGCAATCCAATTAAAATAAATTTTTGATTCATCTATACCACACAAATTTGCCCAACCTTCCTTGTTAAAATAATTCATGTCATATAATATGAAATTTGTGTTATAAAACATGCCATGAAGGACTATATGTCCGGATGCCCGTATGGCACTTCGGACTTAATAATGGTTTCCATTTCTAGAATTTTTATGACGATAGTTTCATTGTATGTAGATATGTAGAGGAGTGTAAAATATTTCGTTAGTATGATATTTTTTCTAACTATTGGATTTTTATTTATTATTTCTAAATAAAATTCTTTATTGAAAATTAACTCAGATATTGAATTGTATCAGTACAAGCATAATAAAATGTATATTTCATACGAATATATTAATTCAAAATGTGAGAGTATATATATTCTAAAAATTTATTTTATAACCGTACTTTTAATATTTTGAAATATGACTAATAACTTATTGAAATTCCGAAATGATATTATAATACATTGTATAAATAAGATCCGATAGCTTGTGTTATGAACTTATTATCGGTTGTTAAAAGTTAAATAAATTGCGGGTAATTGGAAAATTCAACATAAGATGAATTGAAACTACGCACAAAATATTAAAAGTAAATAGGTTGTGGTTTTTAATTATATATCTGATATTCTGATATTACACATCCACAAAATTTTTATACGAAAAGCTTGTGCGACAAAAAAAAATATTTATACAGTCCTTTTTCTTTTTATTACCCATTAATAAAATTTTCTCATACCTATATATTTTTTCACCTATATGTTTTTTCTTACATAAAAAGGAGAATAAAACGCAAAAATATACCACCCACACACAAACCCATACTCTATTTAAAGGAAGAGAAGACCTAATAAAGAGAAGAGAGAAGATAGAGCTAATGAAAAACGATGAAAAAAAAGAAGATAAAACATCACCTGCACACAAACCCACACTTCCAACCCATCCCTTCTCATCCCCTTTCCCTCTCGTTCTTCCCTTTTCTCTTGTTCTCCCTTCTCCTCTCGTTCTCCCCTTTCTCTCACACCTAAAGGAAGACTTAAAGAAAAGAGGCCTAAGAGAAGGCCTAATAAAGAGAAGACGGAAGAACTAGACAGAGAGAAGATGGACCTAAAAAGAAAGAAAAAAAAAGAAGATAAAAGAAATAAATTATTTTTTTCATGCAAATAAATTTTTCATTTTCTCTCATTCCTAAGTATGAAAAGAATAGAAAGGTGAGAAACGTTAGACTGACTAATCTACTCAAGTGAAGTCAACCAATGGACCTGGTCATTAAAATAGAACAAGTGGATGCAATGATAAGGGAAGTTTCGGCAACTCTATTGAGCTGGCAGGTCTATAAATCTGTAATGGATACTGCTTCACGTCTATTTTAATGATGTCTAGGAGAGAAGTTGGTGGTGTGAAGCAATGGCCTATTGCTGTGTCTTTGTCAGATCACTTGATGAATCATAAGACTAGGTGCCGCTGTTCACCAAATTTTTGGAGACTGTGAAGCTTCTACGTTACGCTCACTTAGCTAGCTAACTCTAATTACTTTTTTTTATAGATAATTAGATTCATCATGTACAGTACATCTTAAAGAAAATTCGTGGTGGTAGTCGTGATATATACTTTTATTTTCTGAAGCAACACGAATAAAAGATTTACGAACAAGTTGATCCTCACCGTGAACTAATACATATGAGTTAAGAATCCATACTCTTTATAAAAATAATGTAACAACTGAACCAAAAATCGTATGAAAATTCGTAAGTCTATTCGAAAGTTAAGGAGAAGGTACCAATGTCAAATCCAAAGTACGTATGACACATCTTTGGCTTATTTACGTAGCAGCAACCAGCGGCGTTTGCGTTGGAGATAGTCTTATCATTTCTATTTTTACGTGTTTATCATGGTACCATGTAGGTCTACGACCTTGTACCTTCGTTTCACCTTGTCTACCATGTAGGTCTAAGCTTAACCTTGTAGGCATTGCAGACGTAAAAACACTTGTGATATTGATAATGTACTCAGTTTTACTGACCATACATTAACTAACATTTCTAGGGGACCCACCCTCTTATTTAGAGGCTACTGCACCTCACTTAATTTAAGCATAGTTCTCCATAGTTCTCTATCGCATCAGCATTTCATAATATTCTTCATGACTTTGATCTTTCTTTAAATATTTGCAAGGGTATTAGACAAAATTATAGAAGGAACTATGCCTGAATACGTTGAACTAATGAAAAGATGATGGGATAATGATCCTGAAAAAAGGCCAACTGCTAATGAATTATATTATTTTTAATGAATGGGATAAAAAATATCTATCCTGGTAATTATAATTTATTTTCGGACAAAAATTGTATTTATTTATTAAATAGTGTTTTTATTATTTTTTCTATTAATTTCATAGAGAATGAACCACAATAGTTGACAATAATTACAGCCATGGTATGTGCAAGATTATTTTTATCATGTTATCACGATTTCATCATACTGTAATTAATTTTTATTATATAATTAGATGAAACAGACGAAATGGAACACATTTCACATAAACGATTGCAATCGTTCATTGAGAACGAAGGGAAAAGGGAAGACAAAGGGGTGGGTTTGGGACTTTGGGTGGGTTGGGAGTGTGAGTTTGGGACTTTGGGTGGGTTTGGGTTGGGGTGGGTTGAGAGTGTGGGTTGAAGTGTGGGGTTGGGAGTGGGTTGGGAGTGTTGTTTAACGTTTTTTTTTTCATCTTCTTTTTTTTACTAGGTCTAATTTCGTTGTTGCTGAAAACTCCTGTACCATTTAAAAACGTTAGGAAGTCTTCTCTTAGGCCTCTTTTCTTTACGTGTTGGTTTAGGTGTGGGTTGGGAGTGTGGGTTGGAGTGTGGCAAGTCTAGGATATTTAAATCTTGGCCAGTCACGTGCATTATTAAAAGATTTATCTGGATACATTTCGTTCTTTGCTTAGTGCTTTTTCTAAAGCGTTTAACGAGCTCGTAAGCGTGTCATGTTGATTCTCTGATCCAACCGGTTCGAAAATCTTTGCTACCGCGCTTTGGTATACCTCAGTCACTTATAAATGTTTGTTAATTATAGGTAATGCTGATAATAACGGTGCTTTGACTTGAATTTTTTAAGAGATTCAATTGTGTTTATCCACTTTGAAATAGTGGTAAATATTTTGACGGAAACCATTAAAATTCATTTGATACAACTCATGAACAAAGTATTTAAAAGCAATACGTAAAGCAATTACAGAATCAGCAGTCAGATTGGCATCATAGATATCTAGCTTTACTTCAAATCTAAAATCAAGGTAAATTGATAAAAAATCAGGATCGAGTGGTAGCAAGACAGAACGAGGCTAATACTGTATATTACAAAAATTGAAACAAATCCAACTCTTATTTTCTTTTTTATGTGAATTTTAGAATTATCTATACACTTTATTTATAATTGAAGAGATATTGATTTATTCAATCATCAAGCTTTAAAAAAAAAGGAAGGAATTTAATATTCTTTATTTATTTATTTATTTATTTATTTTTTGTTAGTTACGCATCTCCTTTGTTTATTATATAACAATTATTTATGCAAACAAATAGAAAATACATAGCAGTACATTAAAAGTAGCGGTACGAAAAAAAGAAAAAAGAAATTTTTTTACGTGTTATCACGTGCTAGTGTGGAAGTATCGACAAACCATGAACTTATCGTATAACGAATATTTTTACATAATATTAAGTAATTTGTTAAATATTTTGATATTAAATTTTATTAATTAAAAGCAATTTATTATGTGCATTTCAAAAAAAGTATGCACTGTATATTCACGCCAGAGGTAATTCTGACAGGAGTAATTTACTTAACATATTTAAGTTATTATTTTACGTAAATTAGATTAAACGCTCATACGAGATCTTGATTGCTGGTGCGCATGGCTCAAGTAATTGTAATAATTTTGCATTACAAAAAAAATTTAACTTTTGCTATGTAAAAAAAATTTTAATTAATAATCTATTAATAAAACTATCAAAATTAATTTGCCTTACAGAAGTAAAATTCTGCTTTAAAGCTTCTTTTTTTAGTTTTTTAACATATTTCAATTCTTTCTTTTCATATCAAATCACTTTCTTGTTGTTCTAAATATAAAATCACCTTATTATCAACTTCGCTATGAGTAATTAATGGTAAAGGATTCAAAGATTCTTCTATTTCCTTTTCTTGATTATTAGGAAGAACTGCTTTGAGAATTTCTTCGTTAGACAACATTTCTGTTGTAATTTCATCATTATCGAATTCTTTAGCATTAAAGGGATTTCAGGGTTAAGTTCATCGATCAATGTTTGGACATCTTCCAATTCTTATATATGCGTAGAATAAATTTGTGCATCAGTCTTATCGTCTATAATAATTTCCATCATTTTTAGGCAAATATCCAACAATTTTCAATCGTATCTTATGCACCATTATTCCATGCATGCGCAATATACTTAATGCACTTTATAATATTAATTTCAAACAGGATTAATGCCATATTCGTTATATTTATCATATGCCTTTAATTAATTTTTTTATTTTTTTAGGCGCAATATCGAAAGTATTTTTACATAATCAAGTTAAGTATGTATAGAATTTTTATAACTTGAAGTAATTTATTACTTACTTTAAACCTATTGATAATCCCTTGATCGCAAGGTTGTAAGTGCGCAGAGGGGAGATATTCGATAGTAATATTTGTGAGATGTGTAGTTTCATATAAGGCATGGGTTGGAGTATTATCAACAGAAGAAGAATTTACGACCTTGATTTCTCATTTTGATATCAAGTTTCTTGAGATATTGGTTCCAAACCAACACCTGCATCCAACTTTTAGTATTCCTGTAATAATCAACTGGAAGTGATTTTTTATCAATATTTTTAAGAACTCAGGGATTTTCATAAACAAAGGACACAATTTTTTACTTCCAGTTGCGTTACAGGTAAACAAAACAGTTACACGATCTTTGACCGTTTTGTATCCAGTAACCTGACCATTAGATATTGTATGACTAGGCCGCATCTTCCAAAAAAGACCCAGTTCATCACAATTGATTCTTTAGGGTCATAATTTTTTAAAATTTGATGATGATCTTCACGCATTACTTGAAGTGGCGCACTTGCTGCTTCTCCATGAATATTATATTGCGTGGCGTTTTTTAAAATTATTGATCTATCCATTAGCTAATGGTTTCTTGCTTTTAAAATGCCACTAATCATTCCTTTGCTTAGTTCGCTAACACCATATTCATTAGCTAAGTCTTTTTGTTTAAAAAAAGGTGTTGCTATTTTTTTAAACAGACTTCTTTTTTTACGCAGCAGTAAGATTATGACCAACCTAATATAAATGATGATTCTTCATCAAATGATGAAATAGAAATTAATATAGACTTTTAGGGCCTTCAACTTCGTCAAGATTTTTTTGGGGTTTACCTTTTGCATTTTCATATAAGGAAATAGGTAAAATAAACAAAAAGAATGAAACATGAAGCATGGTTATAATAAAATAAATAATGTGTGAAATTACTATATTTGAAAAAAATTTCATGTAAAATGAATGTCAGATTATCCCTTATGGTAAAAATTCATCTCGTAAAAATCTTCATCATTATATTCAGAAAAAAGTTCATTATAAAAAAAAAATTCATTACATTTACATATGTGGGTTTATGTATTATACAGTGGTGTGCAAAAAAAATGACAATTTTTTTGAGTAATGATCAGCAGGCATAACTTATCCGATTTTAGTCGTATCTACACAAATAAATATGCGTATGAAAGCCCCGTGATTACTTTATTTTTTAACGAAAAATTTTTTCCCATATATAATAAAATTGTATTTTATTAACCGTATAAAATGCCACTATCTAAGCAAGAAACTCAAAGACAAACGATATTACAATTCTGGAGGCAAGGAATACGTACTGCCGCCAAAATTCATTCTTTGACAAAGATACCACTTAGGACAATATATAGGAACCTTAAAAAAATCAAAAAAACCGGAGATGTGAAACATAGAGGTGGCAATGGACGTATTAGTAAAATAACGCAAAAGGCTGCTCGTGAAATTGGACAATATATTCAAAGAAAACCCACAATTACCGCCAAGTTCATTGCTGCCAAATTGGAAGATGTTGGTGTTAACGTCTCTCGCTCAACAGTTTCAAGGTATTTGACCAGACACGGATACAAAAATGCACTCCCCCTTGCTACACCAATGCTTACTCCAGCCCATAAGCATAAACGTATTGAATGGGCACAAAATCACATGAATGATGACTGGGCAAAATACTTTATTTAGTGATGAGACAGCTTTCCAGCTATTCCGCAACACAGTAAGGCATTGGTATAAAAAACAACGGCCAATTCGTCCCATACCAAAAGACCGAAGTAAAATTTTTGCATGGGGTGGTTTTTGCATAAGAGGTAAAACAAGTCTTTTTTGTTTTAGGGATAATGGATGGAAAATTTTACACAAAAATATTAGAAAGACAAATTCCAGAGGTGTACAGTATGTTAGGAGATAGTTGGCGGCTGCAACAAGATAATGATCCTAAACATACTAGTCGGGTTGCTAAGGAATTTCTCAAAAATAATGTCCCAGAGGTTATGGACTGGCCATCCAATAGTCCAGATCTAAACCCCATAGAAAACCTTTGGGCAATTGTTAAGAGAAATACAGAGTTGCGTAGACCAAAAAATCTTAATGAATTAGATGTTTTTTTGCATGAAGAATGGGTAAAAATTCCAAATAACCTCCTAATTAATCTTGTAAATTCAATGCCGCAACGTTGTAGGGAGGTTATTGACAGAAATGGTGAACGAATACCATATTAATTTTTTTTAATAAAGTCTACTATGTTTTAGCTTTAAAATAATACTTTTTATTTTTTGATTGGTTTATTGGTTAAAAAATTAACGTGACTTGAAAAATTGTCATTTTTTTTGCACACCACTGTACTTCGTTAAATGTTATACCACATTTAATTAGTAAAATTTGGTATAACAAAAAATTTTTCATATAATCATCCGGACTTATCAAGTTTAAGG